AGGATTTCTTTTTTTTCTCTTCCTTTTTGATTCTGTTTTTTGCTCTAGCATCAGTGGTGACAATTCTATCTTCTATTTCACTGGTTCTGTGTTCCATCTCATCAACTCTGGTAATGTATCCCTCTGCCATGTTGACAGCATCTGAAACATTGGACCTCATATTTTGGATTGTGGTCTCTTGTTTATCCAGAGCCTCTAATGCCTCATTTGTTTCATCTGCATTGTTATAGATTTTTTTTAAGTTCCTGGTTTTTACTTGCAATGTCCTGTAATTCTTCAAGTTTTTCTTTCACTCACTGAAAATAATCAATTATTGTTCTTTTAAATTCTGTGACAGAAAATTCCATCTGGCTTTCTGGCTTCACAAATGCATTGATATTGTGTCACTTTTTTTTGGTGACATCTTGCTTTGGGCTTGGGTAGGCTGTGAGGTAACGTGCTTCTTAAGTGACCTTGCTGTGGTAGAGTTTTTCATTCCTGAGGCAATGATAGGCTCTTCATCTGAAGTCACTGCTCCAGAAGAGAGTGGAGCAGTTACCCTGCCTGTGTTTGTCTCTGAATGTCTGACCCAAGGGATGTTTCAGTTCAGGTCCTGTGAAAGCAGCCCCTTCTGTTTATGACTGTTGTAAACCAAGCCTTTCCAGACTAAAGGCAGTTAGCTGAGTGGACATGAGGAAGTGCTGGCCTGTCACGGGCTCCTGGCGGGCACAGCTGCTGGGTTGGGTAGAGTCACTGGGCAAGGTGGGTGCCTCAACATGTGTGTATTTGCACGCTGGGCAGGCGTGCACAGACTTTTGCTGCCTGAGCTTGTGTTACTCAAATTCCAGCTGTCAGGCCCACATTCACCCTCTCTCTGGTCCAGCTTCCCTCAGGTCTGGCTTCTCTTTGTTCCAGCTTCTGAATTAGAAATTTACCTCTTTCAGGTCATACAAACTGGAAGTCACCATTGACCAGGTTCAGCTTTTCTTTTAAGTCAATTTCTAAAAATTTCCGAAAGCAAGAAGCAGCCTCTTCTTCTTCATTTGTGGACATAGCATCTACTCCTCCTTTTATATTTTTAGTGAAGAAAAAATTCTCATCTTTTTCTATCAGGTTGGTTAGTTTAATAACTTTTGATGGCAGGACTTCCCCCCACCCCCTAAATTCTGTTCCTAAAGGGTAGAGCTTCCACTTCTATCAGTGATTTATCTTGTGTTTTTGACAAATAATAAATAGGGATCCTCTCATCCTGAAGGAAGAAGATAAAGTAATACCATTTCTGTGAGCCTAATGCGCTAGTTCACCCTTCTCACACAGGTAAAAGAATTGTGCCAGGCTGGAGAGATGACATGAAGGGACAGTGTCCAAGTACCAATGTAATACAATGTACAGCAATTTTAGGATTTCTTGGGAGTGCAGACTATAGTGCATGGAGCTTTAAAGTGTAGGCCAAAGCTTTTTGTTAGAGCATGGGGATGAGAAGAAAAAATGAGAAGGCAGAAGTGAACGTTGAAAGTAAAGAGATTTATTAGAAAGTCACGTCCCTAACAGGACAGACCTCCCTCTTTGAAAGGAAATATGGCAGAGAGGCCACTTACTAGGAAGGTGAGGTTGGATATATAGCTTCCTAGCTCTGGTGGCCTAGTGGCAAGAAGCTGAAATCTTGAAGGCATATGGTTCGAAACCACCAGCAGCTCTGCAGGAGAAAGATGGGCAGTCTTCTCCCGTGAGATTAATTGCCTCTGAAAACCTGATGAAGGGTCAGCTGTGCATCAGTTCCACCAGATGTTAAACAACAGCAGCAACAACAGAAACCTCTGGGTGGGCCTTGGGGGCTGGAGTCTGGGTCAATGAGATGATACCATAGAGGAGTTTAGTGAGTGGTCCACATTCTGATCCCTGTTCTCTGAAGTTATTAATTTGCCCACAGTGTCCACTGCCTTTGACATCACCCATATGCCCAAAGCACTAATTCAATGTGTGTTAATAGCTGCTTCCTGGCTCTAACTTTTGCTTTCCCTATGTCATTGGTTCTAATCCTACAATACTCTAGGGCGGTAGAAAACAACAAGGGGACTCTTAGAGGTAAGGAAAGGGAAAACAGAGATATTTGAAGGAGGAGACCCCAAATTGAAAACTCCCCAACATCTTAGAAATCACCAACTGCCTAGTGAATTTCAAAGCCAAGTACTCAAAATAATTATGCCTAGTGAATTTCAAATCCAGGTACTAAATTTGTTGTTGTTAATTAAAACTTGTTGTTTCTGTGTACTGTAGAGTCAGAACTGACTCATAGCTGACACTTTGGTGGGTTTTCAGGGGCAGTTAATCACACGGGAGGATACTGCCTATTTTCCCGTGGAGCAGCTGGTAGCCTCGAACCGCATGCCTTCAGGATTTCAATGGAGCTTCATGCCACTAGACCACCATAGTTCAATCAAAGCATAGTTTCTGGAAGTTATATATAAAAAAATTCAAATCATTTTGCAACATGTCTGAGTAGGTGAAAAAGAATACAATTCCCAAAGTTCTGAGCATTTTAAAAAGCAATTTACTAGTTGAAATAAATTTGCCAAATATTAGTAGAAGAAAAGAGACTGTAACCTCTTTACTTCTAGGAAAAGAAAAAGAATGAGAATAGATGAATAGTTTTCTGTTTTCCAGATCCGGTCTTGTTTATCATGTTAGGTAACAAAGCTGGCCATTTGCCACAACTGCATGTTATGCAGTGTCTGGCTAATGAACGTGACAATTAGAAAATGACAGAATAACTAAGGACTGGCAAACTTCATTCTGAGTGTGGCTCAGCTGTCATTTGTCATGTAATTAGCTGCTTCAGAGAAATTATGCCTCTAGGTAACTAGCTTTGCGATTTAGTTTTTTATTTCCTTATTAGTAATTGTGTGACTTGGGAAGAAAAGTCTTCATTTTTAATTGACATATGCAGAATGGTATAATGTAATAAGATTCAGTCTATGTAATTGCAGGTTTTGAAGATAAAATATTATCAAATGTTGGCAAGTTGGTATGAATCAACCTAACCTAATTTCTGCCTCATGGGAATATTATGAGGATTAAATGAGAAATATATGTAGAATGCTTGACTCACTGTTTAGACTATTAGTAAGTGTTTAGTAAATGGCAGATGTTATTATTTTAAGTGAACCATATATTTTTCATTTAGGAATAAGACTAAGGGGACTGCTTATTTATAAGCTTCTTTAGCACTGCTAAGGAGCTTTGGTGAACTAGTGGGTAAAGAGTTGTGCTGCCACCCCAAAGACAAATGGTTCAAATCCACGAGATGCTCCTTGGGAGAAAGACAGGCAGTGTCCATGTGATTCACAACCTTTGAAAACCCACTAGAAGGGCAACTATGACTCTGTTCCAACTCAACAGTAGGTAACAATATAGCGCTTCCAGTTCAAGGGCCACACTTTTCTGATGGTTTGACTCTGCCAGCAACTTTGAGGTAGAAAGGTGAGCCTTCTCCTCCCATGTGATTTACAGCCTCAGAAACCCAATGTAGGCTCAACTAAACATTGGTTCCTGTTCTACAGTTAGGAGTCACTTTTGATTTGTTTAAAATAAAATACAAAATTGTAGATACAAACTATTTACTGTAATATGATGCTATAAGGTAAATTAAATTTTCCTATAAATATATGCAAGGCAGTTATTGCTCACCACAGTGCAAAAAAAGGGGGGAAGAACACAGTGTGTATGGTCTTTTGTATCTGCCGTCTTTGATTTAGGATAGCATCCTCAAGGTTCATTTGTATTGTACCCTGTGCTAATATTTAATTCCTTTTTATTGCCAAATAACATTCCATTGTGTATAGCCATTCATCACCTGATGGATATTTGGGTTGTTTCTTCTTTTATTTGCTGTTATGAATAGTGCTGATGGGAGCAATTATGTACAAAATTCCTACCAGCATCAGTAATAATAGTTTATGATTGTGTGTGTGAAACGTCCAGAATAAGTGAATCTTTGGAGACGGAAATTAGGGGCTGCCAGGAGTGAGAGAGAATGAAGTAGGGATACTGGAGATGAACATGGAGTTTTGTTTTGGGGAGATGAAAATGTTCTCAAATTAAATCGTGGTGATGATTTCCCAACTCTGTAACTCTCCCAACTCCATACAAAAGGCACTGAATTGTATACTTTAAAAGGGTAAATCTTATGGTGCATGATTTATGTCTCAGTAAAGCTGTGTTTTTTTACTAAAAAACAATAGTGGGAAGCAATTTATAACACAAATTCACTCCTAAGGAAAGAGTCCACGATGATTTATGTATTGCAGATACCAAGGAAAAGTAAGTACCTTGAGAAGGGCTTCATAGATTTTGCTACCCCCCCCCCCATTTCTAGTCTTGTGTGCTTCATTTGGATTCTGCCCAACATTTATGATTGGAATTTGACTCATAAATTATTGAAAAAGCTGAGTTTTTTCACAGCAATAAGTAGAGACAATGGAAGAGGAGATAGATATAGTTCAAAGGTAGTATGAATGTAGAAAAAGAAATGTGATTAATAAAAATAGAGAGATTTAATAAGGAATCCAGTTCCTTCCTCTATCTTCTCCACTCACCTTCTCTCCCCCTCAAAGGCCCTTTTGCAATTTAGAAACAGGAAAGGTTAAAGAAAGAAATTTATATGTAATTTGCATAGATTTCCATGCTGCATGAAGTTTACTATAATTGCCAAGCAATATAATTTTCAGGAACATTACCTACAAATTGATAATAGGTAGTCTATGGCTTGTAATTAATATATTTCACAGGAAAGATGGTAGTAATGATCTTTTAATTATCCTTGTACTCACTGGGTTTCATTTTGTAGCTCCTTTGAGTAAAACATTTATATTCAATTACAGAGACTGATAAATAGGCTTGCTTCTGTTTCTAATCACTGCAAAGTATTAGTAGTGAGTGCTAGTGGCTGCTTTCTTGTAGGGAGCAAACATGATAGCCACGGTTCATTCCAAATCTTGGCGGTATCACCTTATGGTAGCTATTCAGATGTTTTCTTCGATCTCTCTGACTTGCGAAGACACAACTTTGCCGTCCACTACTTCTTCCACGACAGTCTTAATCTTCCTGGATCTCTTGCTTTCTGAATTTGGATTTAAACATTAAATGTTAACTCAGACATATGACACTGCCAGTTTATGATATTCATTTTAAAATTCTCATTAGTTGGTACATTTAGAAAAACAATTGAATCCATTTTCTTTATTGAAAAATTCTAAATCTATTTAATTTTTAAAAATGTGCCACTCTTTCTAATTAAAACAATTTCCTACTCTATCCCAAAACAGAATATTTAATATTGAATCAAGTTCTCATTTTAATCTTATTATTTTTCTCAAGATTTCAGGATGTCTTAGGAGAGAAGCATGTCATTGTTGTGTACTACAGAGTCACAACCAACCCATAGCTGAACCTTCAGTGGACTTTCAGAGGTGTTAAATCGCATGGGAGGAGACTGCTTATTTTTCTCCCACAGGGCAACTGGTGTATTTGAACAGTGTACCTTTGTGTTGACAGCACAGTTCCTTACCACCAAGCCACCAGAGCTCCCTAAAAGCAACATAGACACAAAAATTGCCCTACTATGGGGAGTGTGACAGATTTCTCATGTACTTTGTAAGATGTTTGTACTTTCTTCCTTGGTCCCTGATTTTAAGTCCCATAGTGTTAGAGAAGAATCCTGCCTATCCCACAGACTGCCTAAAGAATAAAAAGACATGCTTTTGAGAAAGTGCAGCTAGAGTGCTCTTTGGTGGCAAGGATGGTGAAGCTTCATCTCATATACTTTGAGTATGCTGCTAGGAGAGGTTATTCCTTGGAAAGGGGAATCATGCTTGGAAAAGTGGTGGGACAGTGAAAGAGAGGAAGATCCTCAGTGAGATGGATTGACACAGTGACTACAGCAATGGGGACGTATGTGGCAGAGATGATGATAATGGCAGCGTCTGTTGTTCATAGGGTTGCTATGAGTTGTACTCAACTCAGTGGCACCTAACAAGCTCTGCTTGGAGCTTCCTGTTCTGATTGAGTGGACTGACTGGAGTCAAATTCTGACTTGACAGCAATGAGAGTTGAGAGAGGGGTTGAGAATTAGTGGAAAACTGTTCAGGAAATGTATGAAAATGAGAACACTTACCCTTGTCATCCAGGCTTTCCTGAGGTATAGCAATCCTGTGAATTTGTTTTTAAGAAAAGAAATAGAAACAACAGCGTTACTGCCATTTTGTTATTGCCATTCCTGTTTTCAAATCTTTCAAAGTAATTAAAGTTTGAGTGACATATGTTTTAGTGTTTTTATTTTCTTCTTTTTAAAAAATCCTAGCTGCTTCAAAATTGAGGGTATTGTATTTTAACTTGAAAATACAAAGCTTCAAAACCAGCCTGTTTAACTGGTCGAAGTTTTTGTAATGAATTACAGTGGAAGCTTAAATCGTGTGTCCTCTTTTTGACTTTCTTGGGCTTGGTGCTTGAAGACCTTTGCTCCTGGAACACTGTTGATTCTCAAATGAGCTCCCAGGGACCTCTGTGCCCTGTTCTTTAACTTGAGCTCTCAATGAGAATACTTCCAACAGTATATTAATTATAAAAACTAAGATAATCATGATATGTGTTAAATGGATAACCATCTTCTAATTCAGTCCAACCACAGGACCTAAAGTTGAAAGATAGTATTTGATATTTTTAGGTTTACATATCTTTTGGTCTATTTTGTTTTGGGGGGTGTGTTTGTATGTATGTGTGTGTGTTATTGCTTTTGTATTACGATTTGCATTGGTACTGGGCAATGAGTTATGGGTTTAATGAATGGGCACTCAAATAGATAGTGATTGGCACATATTCTATGATAGGCAGAGCCTTACGATGTTGTTACATCCTCTCCTTCCAAAAGGCGGCGGTAAGTAGCAATTTCCTGTTCAAGCCTGGTCTTTATACCAAGAAGAATATTGTATTCGTTGGTCTGTTGTTCTGTGTCTGTTCGAATCTGCATCAGCTGGATTTCTAAGGAGCTTATCAGTGCCTGGATTTGAGCCAACTGGTTGCTGTAGCGCGCTTTGGTGTCCTCTAAAGTGCGTTCCAAAGATTCTTTCTAAGAAGAAAAGAAACAGATTTTTTAAATATTTTTTTTTTTTAGTTGAAGACTTAAGAAGTGGCTTAATCTGAATTTCATTTGAGAATAATCTCTGCAGTTAACCATTGTGGGCATCAAGCTATTTCTAACTCAACCTCCCGTTTTTTTTTTCCCCCTCTGGACAACCGGAACCTTGGTTAGAATTCCCAGTTCTTGATATGTGTTTATATGTGTAATTTTTAAACCTTTGTGTCTAATGTTCTTTCATATTGTTGTTTTCTAGTTTCTGCTCTCCTTATCAATGAGAGTCTTTAACTCTCTACCCTATTACACTGTTTCACTCATGTGCTTTATACCACCTGCCTTATGAAGCATGAGGATTCCTCCTCTCATTCTTAGGTGTGGCTATTTGACTTTTTTTTGGTCAATCGAAACCAGATGGGAACTATAAAGCCAGATAGGAGTGTTTTCTCAGGAGAAGTTTTTAGAGCCAGTATATGGTCCCACCATTGCTCTTTTCTTTCTGCCACACACTAGAATGTTCTAGATAAGGGCTGATCCTTTAGCCTTACCCCTTGAATGAAAATGTGAAGCTGAATTGCAGCTAACTCATGATGGATATGATGTTATAGTTGAACTGATTGTAGGCTTGTGATCATGACATAGTTTATCATAGACAGAATTGCTTAATACTGGAATGTCTGTATGTATCCTCATGTCTCAACTTTAAAATTCATCTCTGTTTTTAAGATCTAGCTCAAGTGCTGCCCTCCATCCTTGTGAAGTCTTCCTGATATGCTCTTTCCTCTGCATTTCTACAGTACATTTACTGCACTTTCCTCGATTTCCTTCTGTCTTAAAATGATAATCAGTTGTTTGGCCTGTTTCTCCACTAGCCATGTGAGGGGTGTGGTTATTTCTGAAAGGTCTCTGCATTTCTAGAATTCCTAATGCAAATACTTAGGATCCAAATACAGGGTTAAGAAATGGGGAAAGTGGAAGTTAGAGGTGCTTTACCATACTGAGATGGGATTGGAGGTCTATCTCCAGATTCTGGTAGACGCGTTTCAACTCCTGTACTTGAATATCATATTCTTTCATTTCTTCGGTGTTCACTGTCATTTGTTGCTGGAGCATTTCAGTCTAAAATTAAAAAAAAAAGGGAAAAAAAAAGAGGAACAGCAGAAGAAAGTAATGAAACAAGCTTGCTTTTTCTGGAGAACAATTTCAACATACATACACACTCTTTAGAACCATGTTCTTACCTGTTTGTCAAAGTTTTCTTTGACCTCTTGAAGGTTCTTCTGGGCCAAGACTTCATATTTCTGCCTCATTTCATTCATGATGTTGCTGAGGTTCAGGCCGGGAGCAGCATCCACTTCCACATTGATATTGGTGCCCAGCTGCTTGCGGAGGGCTTCGACTTCCTGCAAGAGCAAATGTACACATTCATTTTAGCCTGAAGTGAAGTCTCAGGAGAAGCTGAACAGGAAAGACATAAGAACTCTTATGATTTTATGGGGATAAGTTAAAAAGAAAGAAAATATTAGCTATACTTTTGGGCCAGGTTCTGCTCTGTGTCATTTTTATTTATTTATTTATTTTTATTGTTATGAAATTTTATTCGTTTTAATGAACATTTACAGGGATTTTGGGTTTTCATTCCTTCATTGCTGCACCATTCTCTCTACCCTCCTCTGCTCTGTGTCATTTAACCAATATCATGAGCTTATGAAAACTTAGGACTCATGTCAGTATTGCTGTCATCTTGTTCATCACCACCATTCCCACCACTATTGTATTATTGCCACCACCTCTTCCCATTTTACTTTCTCTCATTCAATTTGAGAAGTTTTATAGTTTCTGATGGACTTCTGAATATTTTCTTACCTCTTCATGTTCCTTTTTGAGTAGAACCAGGTCTTTATTCAGTTCTTCAACTTGCATCTCCAAGTCACTTTTGCTTAGAGTTAGATCATCAAACACCTTACTTAGGCCCTGGAGATCAGCCTCCACTGTTATTCTGAGCCCCCTCTCAGTCTCACACCTGTCAATCAATTCACATGCAGAAATAACTGAGACTTGTTGAAGTCATTCTAGGACAGATAATGTAGTGAGACAGATTGTTTTGTACCATATAGGATCAATTTCAAGAATTTTATTCTTCCCTTAATATTTTAAAAAAGACATGAAAAGTTGGAATTCATTAATCTCCATAATACAATTTATGTAATTTGGAAGTCTTTTGAAAAGGCAATCTGACATAATTTTCAAAAACTCCCAAGTTCTAGATTATATTTTAAAAGAAAATTTTCCCCCTCTAATTATGGTATTAGCAAAGGGCTTTTGTTGTTGATGGTAAGTAATGGTCCATGATTAATTTATTTTTGTTACTTTGTAAGCAGATTTAACCAAAGATAATTCTATTAAAAGATCATACATTCTCCTGTGCAATATCCATTCATTTTTTTAAAAATAGCAAATTTACTTAAACAACTAATGCAATAAGACACACTGACATAGTAGGACTGGAATTAACGAACTTTTTACTGCTTTGATGCTCAGATATGCTTTCCATTTACTTCTTTGGATCCCTGAAGCATCAAAATGCCATCCTTATAATCCAATGCCAGGACTTTTAATGCCAACACTTAGCATATATTTAGGATGAGGAAACCCCAGTGCAGAAGAAACTAATGAGGAAAAGCTCTGATCTCCTGAGGTATGAAAGAACATGGCTAGCCATACCATACTGTAAAGCTGTGGTGTTAAATGAAAAAAGATTGAGAAACACTCATGAACTTGGGTCAGACATGTGTAGTTAGTTATCTGAAGGAACATGATTCTCACTTGGAGAATCACTAAAGATTGATGGATATGATTCCCTTAAGATAACAGGATTCTTATATTCAAAAGGAGGAGAGTGAAATTTGGTTTAGTTGGTGGAAAAATAAGTGGAAAGAAGACCTTAGCGACCTTAGCAACCAGAAATAGTCAAAAGTAGCAATAATAGTTACTTGAGGTGTTCAATTACATGCTGGATGATCAAATCTTAGGATTGTAAAAACAGCAGCTCCATGTACTAGGTTAGACCATGTTGTCTTTTACACTCTTGAAACCAAGATTCTCAAAATCTTCAATGGTAGTTCCTTTACCAATGATAACTTGGTAGTAGCTTCAAAGTCATGTGTTATGAAGGTTTATGAAAAGAAATTCTTTGTAGGACATTATTTTTTAATTGCGATTTTAATGGAAGTTTATAAAGAACTTGGATTTCCATTCATTCATTGTTGCATATTCCACCCCCCCCCCCACCAGTTCGCTTCTTCCTTTTGGAAAAAATGTTCTTTCATTGTTATACAGCCCCCCACCCCCAGACCACTTTACTATGCAGCTTTTGTTCTGGACTCTTGTCATATCAATACTACCTAATCATATATTCCTTTTATACGGTTCTCTCCCTTGTCTGTTTCAAATGCTGCATACATTTTACCATGGTATTAGAAAACCTACTTTAGTCTGAAGTCCTCAGCAGCTAGTTTCGCATTATCGATTTGCAGGATACACTGAGCATTTTTCATTTGAGCATTTTTAATCTGGAAAATACATGATGAAGAATGATATTTTCAACTGGATACAACTTTAGAATGAATGACTTTATCCTCATATACAATCAGTGGTACATCAAGGATCATGGTCACTTCAGTAATTTCTACATGAAAGGAATATTTAATTATTAGAGTCAGCCCCACAGTGCAACTCCATGTCTCTAGGACTTAACCTTTTAGAGATTTTTACAAAAGGTGGATTTAACTCAACTTGAGTCAACAAACCTTTATTGGATTCTTTGCCTTTCATGTCCTTTGTGCTTTGAAAAAAATCTCTTAGCTGCTCTTCACCTGGTATACTCTTATTTCTCTCTTCTTAGCTTAACTTAGATGTAATTTTGTTCCCCAAGGGATCTTCTCCACTGCCCATTCCCCCCATAAAGGAATTGGACATTTATTCCTCCATATGGTAATTTATACCTCCAAAGGCATAGTAATTATTTTTGTTCTTGCTTAAACACAAAATAAAAACCCCAAATCCATTTTCTTTTCTTTTCTTTTTTTTTTTTTTTTTTTGGTGGCATTAACAAACAAATTTATTTTCACACATGGCTTAGGAAGCTTGAGATCTGAATTTAGGGTACCAACTCTAGGGAAAAGAGGTATGGTGGCGCTGGAGGTTAAGCACCCCAAATCCATTTTCATTAAGTGGATTCCAACTCATAGTGACCCTCCGTTGATTTTCTGAGAGTGTAAATCTTTACAGGAGGAAACTGTCTCATCCTTCCCACCCCCCGCCCCCAAAATAGCAGGTAGGGGATTCAAACCACCAATCCGTTAGTTAGCGGTCGAGCACCTAACACTATACACCAGCAGGACTCCTGAGTTGTTGCCCAGTTCTCCTTAAATAAGGTTCATCATCATATTCACAGGGACCAGCATGATACAGCGCTAAGTATTGACTAATTGAATGAACACTTACTATATAGTAGGAATTGTATTGTCACTAAGAATATGAAGACCGATAAGCCCCTGATTTGAAGAAGTTGTTAACTAGTGGGCAGTTTCTTACAGATGCATGTAGATAAGAAGTCTACTTGTGGATGTAACAGTGACTTGTCTATTTCATTAGATTTGGGCCCAGAAGGGCTTCATTTATTTATTGGGTCTATCTGCAAAATGGAATGGATGACTATGCCTAAACATTTAGGATTATCCAAGATAGTTTCAGAAATATCAAGCATAAGACAGGTGTGGGGGGAATAGTTGGTTTAGTTTTGGATGCCTTATAGTGGGATCCTGTGAAGAATGATCAGAAAAGACAAAGGTCAACTTGGATCCCTATGCCTCACATTGTCAGAATTCCTGAAAATTCTTGTAATGCTGGTCTTACTGACTTCTAAAACTACTCAAGAAAACCGGATTTGCTGAGAAGTAAGTGGTCTTTGTGCTAAAGGAATACAAAGTTAAAAAGAGAAATGAAAATGAAAGGAAACTTTTTTAAAATAAGGGCTTTAAAACAAGGCTCTGTGTCATAGTTGATATCTCTAGCCAAGAGCAAAGTCTTTTGCTTTGAATCCACCCAACTGATAAAATAGAGAACTCTTACCTTTCTTAGATGGCATGGGGGCAGGTTCTGCTATGATTGCAATAAATGTGAATTGGGAGCAATATCATTTTATTACTGTAGACTCATTTCTAGACTGTATGGTGATGATGATTAGATTATTAAACAAGCCAATTACAACCTCATTTGAAAGACCTTTACCCCTTTCTCTTTCCACCCTGTTCCACTTTAACTTTTCTACTTATGATAGGGTATTCTAATCCTTGTATGTTTCATTTATGTTCTCAAAAGCAGAGTTGATTGAGGTTTTGAAAATTAGTGGGAACTAGGAGAAAAACTAAGATTTATGATCACATACCCCCCGATCTTTTCAGGAAAAAACAAAAAAAGGAAAAATTGACTTTTCATACAGTCTTGAACCTAAAATATTGTTACCTAAATATAGATGACAACAATGAAGGGTAAGGATAAGAATTGCATATTTTGTCAGTATGCTAAATAATGTATAACAGTTTGATTTACAGTCATTACCTTAGGCAGCCAGGTGTATACATACCGCTGGAGTATATAGCATATTTGCCGGACTCATTTTCAGTCTCATTTGCTTTGCACTGTCTGTTTTGACCCACCCAACAGCTATGCCCTCATGATCAATCACACAACTAACTCATCAGGGAGCCCTCTCACCTGATCCCGCAGCTCTTCGATTTGTTTGTAGTACGCACTGTAGTCCCGGCTGGCACTGGGGACGTTTGTTTCATACCAACGCTTGATCTGCATTTCCAACGTGGTGTTGGACCTCTCCAAAGCCTGCACTTTTTCTAGATAGTTTGCTAGACGGTCATTTAGACTCTGCATGACCATTTTCCCATCGCCAACATATAGGTCCCCGCCAGCGCCAGCGAACTCGCCCCCATAGCTCATCATATGTCTGGAGGTTGAGATGCGGGTGCCAAGGCCTCCAGCACCCCCATAGACGCTGGGAGTAGCCCCATAGCGCTGCATGCCTCCAGTCCTATAAACCGACCCGCTTATGCTGCGTGGAGAGACCTGTGAGGAAATACTCATGGCCCTGTGCACGCTTCTGCGAGAGAAATCCATTGAGGCTTCTGGAAGGGCACCTGTGGCTTCAGGAAGGATAGAGCTGAGCAATCTGTGTCGTTGAGGCTGTGGGGCTGACGCTTATAGAGTTCCCAGGGCTCCGCCTTGCTGACAGGTCACTTCAGGGTGGACAGGACAGCTTTACCTGCCCTTGATTCCCTCCTCCCCGCATAGTGATATGTTTCCCAGAAGTCATCAATACAGGCATCTCTTAGAGGTGTTTCAGAGGAGATTTAAAAAAAAAAATTTTTTTTTAAACACAGGTAACAAAAGGAATGAGGAAGGTCTATTTTCATAGCCCTTGCACCTGTCTGGGTAGATTTTTTTTAAACCTAAAATACACATAAAAACTATTTACAATCCTCATGAATAACTTAGATATTTAAGAAACCAGATGTGGGCCTATAATAGCAAATTGCACAGGTATAAACAGAACCCTGAAGGCACAATGGTTAAGTCTTATGCTGCTAGCTGAAAGGCTGGTGGTTTGAACCTACCCAGCAGCTCCCTGGGGGAGAAAGTCCTGTCCATCTGCTTTTGCAAACGTGCCGGCCAAGAGAACCGAAGGGGTGGTTCTGTTCTGCTGTGTCACACGAGGGTGGCACCCTACAGCAACACTTGTATAACAGACAGTGGTGCATTCATACAGCTAAATTGTTTTTCAGCACCTCAGTTTTTTTGCCTCCCTGCCCCCTGTCCCCCTTTGGCATTTATCTTCTCTCATAAGGACTATGAGCATGGTTTATCCAAACAGAAACCTCCATTACAACATGAATGAACCATTGATCCATTTGGACATAGTTGGGGAAAATGAATGAAATTAATTTGGGTGAGTGGTGAAATAGATGGTTTTGAAGGTTAGATTTTGTTCCTAATCCTAATATTTTATGACTATTTATTTAAATATCTCAGTCAAGGCCTGGCATTAGATATTGTTAGCAGGAAACTTAGAATAAGTGGCGTAGTGTTTTGTACCTGGCCTGGTGAGTGGAGTCTCTTTTCTCTGCAAACAATCAGCTAAGATCCACCATGAGCCAGGCTCTCCTGAAGGTGGAGTTGTTTCTTCCTAGAATTTCTGGTGAATGTCACATGTGGAAGCTTCCACTGCAGCCTGCTCTTTTTCATGGGTCCCGACAGACATTGTGGAAGTGGTACCATGGTAAAATGAGGGTGTGCAGAATTTTGGGGTCATCTTTACTTTCCATGGTGGGAATAAAGGCCCATCAGCAGTGTCATGGTGGGCATTTGGTTGTGGGCACTCAGTAAATACTTGTGGAACTGAACGGAAATTATTTATTTGCTCCTTTCATTAAAAAAACCTGGCTGAAGATTCACATATTTCCTGGAACATTTACATTGCTTCCTTAATCAAATTAAGTAAAAGTTATTAGAAAGGTCATAGAAAACACCTCATTGATTCCAATTCTGATACTTTAATTGAATTGAGGATTCTATATTATTAAAGCAAGGGAGTAAAAAAAACACACACACACACACGCACACACACACAGACACACACATGCACACTCCCGTCTAAACACCTATAAACAAAATATAACCCAAATCCTTGCATACCCTGCATGTTCTTTCTTTAAAATTTTTATTTTATATTGGTTTGCTTATAAAATTTATATACATTGTGTTTCACACTATCCTTCATTCACATTGTGTTTCATACAGTTATTCCTCATTAGTATATTTTATAAAATTAATCACCACTACCCTGTCTTTTCAGATCTCTGCTGAATCTTTCCCATTTCCTTTATGTCCTCTCCCCCTCCCCCAGATTGAGCAACCCTATAATTTCCCCCTTGCCCGTCCTTACCCCTCTCTTTCTACCATCTCCTGCTTGGATCCTCATATACATTTTACTAGTTACCTTTCTGTTTCTACAATAATGGTTTTATGCAGTAATTATACTTAGGAGACTGAGTAGGTCCAGTCAGCATAATGCTCTCCAGTCCCTCCCAACTTAAGTTGTAATTTTTGAAATTGTTGCTCTTGAGTGTGCTAGAGAAGAATACTGATTATCCCATGGCCTGCCAACAGAACCAACAGATATTTCCTGGAAAAAGTCCAGCCAGAATACTCTTTGGAGGCCAAGATGGTAAAGCTTCACCTTGAACACTCTGAACATGTAGCTAAGCAAGGCTATTCTTTGGAAAGGGACATCATGCTTGGAAAGATGAAGGGTCAGCAAAAGAAAGGGAAATTGCCCAAAGGAGAGGTGGTTTGACACGGTGACTTCAGCAATGGGCTCTAATGTGTCAGAGATGATGAGGATGGCACAGGATAGGGCAGGGTTAAGGTTGGCTGTTTATAGGGTCACTATGAGTTGTACATGACTCAAGGGCACCTATCAACAATACCAGTACAATAAGCAGTATTAAAATAATGCTTTAATTTGTGAATGTAAAATGTGTGAGAGAGAGTTAAATATACTTCATGCTTGTATGTGTACTGCTTTTATATTTTTATTCATTTATATAGTTATCATCCCTGATACTCACTGAATGCCCACTACCAATTATTGAACATGTACCTATTTGATCTTGCTGTTTATTCACTTTCTCACTCATTGCTGTCAAATAAGTTTATATTTGTAGCAACCCTCATGGGGTTTCCTCAGCTGTAAATTGAAATTTAAGAGAAGAGACTGACTATATTTTTCCCAAGGAGCTGCTGATGGATTTGCACTTCCAGAGAAGTGAGATCTGTGGGTTATCAGTACAACTTGCAATGGACTACAGCACCTGAGCTTTCTTGCTATTTACTAGAGAGCTATTAAATCCTTGTGTAAAGGGAACAGAAGCATATGAGAGTGGCCAAGTCTGACTTCTGCCTCCTTCAAAAAGGGGAACTGTTCCCATCAATATCATCCACAGAGCCAAACAAATAACTACATAGTCAGACATGCCATCCCCTTAATCCTGCTCCTATTTCTACCAATCACTGAGTCCAATGTTTGTTGTAAACTGACTCACAGACTTTATTCAGAGTTGTGGAGTTTATAAAGGAAATAGCCTTCCAGAAATCTTGAGACACTGCTATCACTATTTAGTACTGAAGCCAACACCCCTGCATGGATAGACAACAGGTTCGTAGAGGAATCTACCTAGAGATTTCCTCCTTCTCTAGACTCTCCTGTATTATTATATAATTGAACACTTCATTGTGATGCTCTAAAATGTAATATTTGTGGTGGTGCTTGAATGCAATTTGTCAAGGCTCCAGAAAATATTGTGTAGAATTTGTTAACTAACTGGTAATAACCAACTAATTAATATTGAGGGTTTTGACTATATATTTAAAAACATTCAAGGGAAAAAAATTTGTGCTTTGGCTTTATGATGTATTTTTGTGTTATTTGCACTTCTCAAACCTTTAATTTTTAGAAGCAAATATAGAAATGGCAATTACTGGCTAGGTATTTTTATTTTTCATGATATTGATTTTGAAATACAAACAGTCCCCTGTCTGGAAGTGACCTTGAAAATAATTTAGACCATCCTTCTCATTTTATAAATCTGAAGACCAAGGTTTACCTAGGTCAAATGACTTGCCTATAACAACAATATGAAAGTAGAAAGTTAAGATTAATTGACATAGTGTTTGCTCTCTAAATTGATTTTCAGTAGGTTTCTATGACCCAGGAAAGGTATTTTGCAAACACTAACCTGATGTATAAACAAAACTCTTAACAGAGAAATTGCTCTTTAAAAGGCTAATAGAAGGTATATGTCTTGCACATTCTAATCTCTACCCTGAGGATAGAAATCCACTTTTTCGATTTCTTCTCTCATTTGTTGTTAATAGCATAGAATTCAAATAGCCATTTGAAGGTGTGGTAGTGATCACTGGCCTAACAATGTCTCTAGAACAAAGTATAATACATAATAAAGGTACATTAAATGAGATGAAGTAATGTATTATTAACTAGCCTCTGAGAACACAAATGGCAGATGTGTTCACATTTCAGCTCAGTTGGGTGTTATGTCATTACTTTTTAATGGGAACATATTGAAGTTTAGAAAACCCCAAGCTATACACAGCATCCTTCTTCCTAGGAAGAAGGATTGGCCATCCACTTCCAAAATTACAGGACTTTGAAAACCCAATGTACAATAGAGCATACTTAGACTATCATTTGGACTAACAGAGATGGCAGTTGAAACTGAGATCTTAGAAATGGAAACACGGCGCAAGAGGAACAGCTTTACGGAGACACTAGTGATTAGGACGTGGAATGTGAGAAGCATGAATGTAGGAAAATTGGACTGGTCCTTGGAGAGGGACATCATGTTTGGGAGAGTGAAAGGATGGCACAGGAGAGGAAGACCCTTGATAAGGTGGATCGATTCTGTGAGTGGAGTGATGGGAATGAGTGTGTCTGAGATGGTGAGGTTGGTACTGGTTAGAACAGTGTTTAGGGCTCTTGTATATAGGGTCACTATGAGTTGCAAGTGACTCGATGGCACATAACAACAATAAAAACAACACACAGAATATTAAATAAAGACTCCAAGACTCTTACCGTGAAAATATTTGCAAGTTACAGGATGGAACTGGAAAAGGATAGAGGGAGGAAGAAATAGGTTGAGGGGGGGAAATCCCTAGTGTTTCTTTTTAGAAGAGTCATTTCTGGATGGTGATATAATTATTCTCAGTTGCTGACTGAAAGATCAAAGGCTTGAGTCTATTCATAGGAACTGCAGAAGAAAGACTTGGCAATCTATGAAAACCAGCCATTAAAAAATGGAAAATCTTGGGAAGCACAGTTCTGTTCCAACACATATGAGGCCTCATGAATGGAAATTGTTAATGTTAGCCAGGATAGAAACTGGATAATTTTGAAAGGAGGGGTTATAAACAGGTTATATTTACCAACTTTTACAATCGGAGATTGATCGAACATGCAACCAAGATGCATTGATAATAATGGGTGACTGGAATGCAAAAGTCGGGAACAAAGAGGAGGATTCAGTAGTTGGAAAACATGG